TAAATATCAATGCAGACGATACAACTGTTTATAGAAGTATTTAAATCATCGAGATATTCAAAACCTTACAGCTTATATTTCTGCTGACTTAGCTTAAACTACTGTTTTTCTATGACGTATTAAACTTTTTTCAAGACATTTAAAGCCAGAATTCCTTCCTTTTTTATATTGGAAGCCTTTTTGAGATAATTATGATTTACTGATCATTGTTAGCCATTTTCATATGTGGTTTCATGCCTTTCCAAACGGTATGTTCGCGTAAGTGAATATAACCAACCCGACTGGAATTGGAACTGGGATTTCCAATTATGATCCGTTATTCATTAAAAAATACGCACATCCAAACTTAAAGAACTTGGTATTCCCAAGCGATCACACATCTAGTTAATTACCAGCGTTGACGTTGCTTAACTTCGTTGATGGTACGGGAACCGGTACTTCAATGTGATATGACCGTCAGCACTTGTTTATAACATTCAATGCCCCTAAAACCAAACTAGTATAATTTCATCATCAGCGGCGAAACGTTGACCCTTTCTACTTTTCAAAGTTGACGATTGAATTCTTAACGAGGCTTTATTCTTTGTACTGGGATCTGATTTTACTGAATGGTTTCAGGTGGAACTCATCGTTAAAAAGTCTGGCAAAATGGTCGGCTTCGTCTACCGCTTCAAAAAACATCGTGGTATTCAGAACCATAAAGCTTCTACTGACTTAGCTTAAACAACTGTTTTCTATGACGTATTAAACTTTATTCAAGACATTTAAAGCCAGAGTTTCTTCTTTATTTTTATTTTTTTTAGATTCGAAATCTTTTTGAGATACGGGTACTTTATTCTTTGTATTGGGACCTGATTTTACTGAATGGCTTCAGGTGGAACTCATCGTTAAAAAGGCTGGCAAAATGGTCGGCTTCGTCTACCGCTTCAAAACTACCTGACTCCCACTCTTTAGTTATACAAGTTACATTCAACAGAAAAACGCGTAGTAGGTTTGTACTGGAGCTACCCAATCTTCACTTTCCTGCCATGATAGAGTTTTCCACTACTTTGCAAGCCTATCACTACCTTAACTCAATCTCAAAGGGCCAATATGTCGATGAGCAGCACGCTTTAGTTCCACCAGTTCATACCTTTAGAACTAGGAATCACCATCCTGGCTCCACAGAGACTAATCACCCACATTTACTCAGTATTCAATCTTTAAGGTGGGGCTTTAACTAAAACTGGGATACATATCAACGATAAATCGCTATATATTTTATCTATATATTATGTATATATATTATCGCTATATATTATGTATATATATTATCTCTATATATTATCGCTATATATTATATATCATTTTCTTTATAGCTTCCTTCTACGTTCATTTGCATTCATATCACACACTTCATTCAGTAACTTTCTGCCAAAATAACTATTCAAACTTGTATTGGGAGAATTATAACAGAAAAAATATACTCCTATCTATCTATCTATCATATCTATCTATCTATCTATCTATCTATCTATCTATCTCCGTCTGTAATTGCACTCACAGATGCGTGCACTCACACACACACAGATACATATATATATATATATATATATATATATATATATATATATATATATATATATATATATATATAATCTTCTCTTTGAGTTGAGTATCTTATATTATTTGAGTCATTGTCGATGCTTGACTATTTTTTCCTTCATCATAATTTCAGTGGCTTATTTTCGCATCTCTTAATCCTGCAATAAAAAATAAGATTTTGACAAGACTTTTCCTTACATCTTTTTTCATTGGGAAATATATATTAACGCTGCTGCTGTTGCTGATTAGGTAACTGTCTGTAATTTCTCATCACTTCGACTAATTCTTTAGTCTTAACTCATATTACTGATCATTATCTATTCGTCTGAAAGGTTATCTGTTATTAATTTATCATGGAGACTGTAGAGTTAGATAGCATAAATTGTGGCCATCTTCTTTCATCGTAAAGACGGACATAAAATGTATTTACTGACAGCAAATAAATTGCGATGCCCTGAAATAGGTACATGCCTGGGGTAATAAATAAAGTTTTCGAATGTTTTTACCAAATTCTGACAGTTTTTTCTTACTGTGTCCTTTCGATCATGGCTCTCTACAATTTCCTGTCTTTTGTAGTTCTTAGTAAACTTTATCTTTTTGCTGTCACTTCTAATCACTGTTCCGTCAACGATCGACTCAAGCACTATAGGGAGATTAATCGCTCATGTTCTCTCTCCGTCTTGCCTTCAACTTCTCCTGTTCGTGTCGAATTGTTAAGCCTTCTTTCCTCATTATGAGATCTAGAAATATCAGTTTTCTCTTTCTGAGTCTAACTATAAGTGTACTTTTGTTATCATTTTCCCTAAAACTTCATCGTTGCTTCCATGTTCAGTCCATTGTATTCTCATCATCCTTCTGTATAACCACATTTATGTTGGCTTAGATTTTTTCATCTGTGAGGAGGTTGTCCAGCATTCACTGCCATATACGATAATTGATATTATATAACAATTCAGTGTTTCTGTCTGTGTTTTTAACGAAATTTTTTTGTTTCTTAATAAATGCATCTTCAGTCTTTCACTTTTAGACAGTGATGGAGAAATCCAGTCCTTTGACATTTTCTTGATTTATTTAATATCATTTCCATATATATGGAATATATATATATATATATATATATATATATATATATATATTCCAGATAGAGAACTAATTCATAAATAAGTCAGATGCATTGCGACTCTCTTTAGATGGCTGACCCCATATCTCTCAAACCAGAGCCCCATCCACGCAAAAGCATTATGCAAATGTACCAAGCTCGATACACTATACACTCGTCAGAAACACAAGTATGATAGGCACCGCCAAGTGCAAAATGTTTACAAAATAATGAAAGTAATTACCATAAAATAACAATGACTAATATCAACTCTGAATACGGCCACAATGACTGGCCATTTCCTGAATTAAGAATATGCCTACCTTTCAGAAAAGCAGTTTACAATAATACAATTAAAATATGGTTAGCAAAATCTTTGAAAGTGGACTTTTATACAAACTCTGCCACCAAAAGAAAGATCTTGTTCTCTTACACGAAAAATACAATAAAAACGTATCAGAAATACCATTTTCATTCTGATCTTGTTTTCTCGTCTACTTATCTCTTTCGAAAAAGAAGTGGGTCTATTTTCCTTTTGAAATTAAAAATAAGCATTTACTCACCACTCAGTTGCTATCACCTGAAGAGGTACAGCTTAGTGCCGAAACATGAAAGCTATTGTGTAGCGATTTTTAACATGTTTTCTTTTAATCTCTTATAATAAATAACATTTGCCTGTACTTTGTATTAAGCCTCTTTTTTCTAAATTAAATGCTACGGACAGTAGAATTATACTCCATTTGTTCTTATATTATATATATATATATATATATATATATATATATATATATATATATATATATATATATATATATAATGTTATGTTATATGTGTAGTATAGCCACTTACGGTTTTATATCGTACTATTCTTCCTCTCTAACTTTTATTAATGTTTTATATTATTGACTGATTTGTTAAAATTGTTGATGAATAATAGGATTCAAATAAATGGAGAAAAACGAACAAATTTATCTGACAAGCCAATTTATATCGAACGCCATTTTTCTAAGAATGTTTTGGCATGCCATCAGTTCAGTTGTGTCACTTCCAAGCAAGAGAATCCGACTTGTGTATATCGCCAAGCGGCAGGCGGCCAAAAGAAAAGGGAGGTTACTTTGATTAGACCTGGTGCGTGCAAGATGGCAGAAGGGAAATAAATTCAAGAGTCAAAGCTACAAAACGCTTTTATGTTTCGGCACACGGGTCTGGACGCCATTATCTTGCTATACAGAGGTACATCATGTGATAAGCCCTAGTCAAGAATACTTGCCCAACACGTATAACAAAATAACAAAGGAACGTTTTCTTTCTATCTATCCTGGATTTTAATTTTCTTTCTTTCTTTAGTATTTCCATGATGTATTTCTACTTTTTTATTCCTTTTTTATATTCTTTCTTTCTTTTTCTTTATCTCGTTTTATATCTTTTCCTTAATGAAAACCTTTTTTCAATTCGCTTCAGTGTGTTTCGTTATTTTTTTCCTATTATTTTACTATTTTGTTTAACAAAAAGTGCAAAATTCTTTACAACTGGAATCAGTAATGGTATTCGAATAATATTATGGCCATTCTGTCAAACATTTTTCTTCTATTAAAAATTCTCTGAAGTTAAAACGCAGTTTTGTATCTTCGTATGAATAATGAAATCCCTTCCTTCCATCGATCTTCCTTCCTTTCTATAATCTATCTTTCTTTTTTTCCTTCCTTCCATTCATCTTTCTTTCGTTCTTCCTTCAATCTATCTTTCTTTCTTCCTTCATCTATCTATCCTTCTTCAATCCTTCTATCCATCTTTTTCTTCCTTACTTCCATCTTTCTTTCTTTTTTTCTTTTTATCCTTTCTTCCTTTTTTTCTCTCTTAAGTCCATCTCTCTTTCTGCTTTCCTTCCATCTATCTCTCTTCCTTCGTTCCATCTATCTTCTTCCTCACATCCATTTCTCTTTCTTTCTTCCTTACTTCTATCATTCTTTCTTCATCCATCTATCTTTCTTTCTTCCTCCCTTTCGTTCATCCTTCTGTCTTTCTTCCTGCGATCTTTCTTTCTTTCTTTCTTTCTTTCTTTCTTTCTTTCTTTCTTCCATCGATCTCTTTCTTCCTTCCTTTCGTTCATCTTTCTTTCTTCCTGCCATATTTCTTTCTCCCTTCCACCCATCTATCTTTTTTTCTGCCTTCCTTCAATCTATCATTCTTTATTCCTTCCTTCTATCAATCAATCAATCTATCTATATCTTTTTTCTTTCTTTCTTTCTTTCTTTCTTTCTTTCTTTCTCTCACTCTTCCGTGTATCTTTCTTTCTTTCTTTCTTCATTTCCTACTCTCCATCTTTCCTTTGTCCTGCCTTCAACCTATATTTCTGCCTTCCTTACTTCCATCTTTCTTTCTTTCTTTCTTTCTTTCTTTCTTTCTTGCATCAATACATCTTTCTTTATCCCTTTCCTCCTTTCCTTCAGTTCATCTTCATTTCTTCCTTCATGCCTTCTTTCTTTCTTTCTTTCTTTCTTTCTTTCTTTCTTCAATCTACCATCCTTCCATCTATCTTTCTTTCTTCCCCACTTCTGTCTATCTTTCTTCCTTCCGTCTTTCTTTCTTCCTTCCTTCCATCCATCTTTCTTTCGTCTTTCCTTCAATCTATCTTTCTTTCCTTCCTTCCATCTTTCTTTCTTCAGTCCTTCAATCCATCTTTCTTTCTTTCTTTCTTTCTTTCTTGCATCAATACATCTTTCTTTATCCCTTTCTTCCTTTCCTTCAGTTCATCTTCATTTCTTCCTTCTTTCTTTCTTTCTTTCTTTCTTTCTTTCTTTCTTTCTTTTTCTTCTACTCAGCCGTCATTCTTTCTTTCTTTCTTTCTTTCTTTCTTCAATCTACCATCCTTCCATCTAACTTTCTTTCTTCCCCACTTCTGTCTATCTTTCTTCCTTCCGTCTTTCTTTCTTCCTTCCTTCCATCCATCTTTCTTTCGTCTTTCCTTCAATCTATCTTTCTTTCCTTCCTTCCATCTTTCTTTCTTCAGTCCTTCAATCCATCTTTCTTTCTTTCTTTCTTTCTTTCTTGCATCAATACATCTTTCTTTATCCCTTTCCTCCTTTCCTTCAGTTCATCTTCATTTCTTCCTTCATGCCTTCTTTCTTTCTTTCTTTCTTTCTTTCTTTCTTTCTTCAATCTACCATCCTTCCATCTAACTTTCTTTCTTCCCCACTTCTGTCTATCTTTCTTCCTTCCGTCTTTCTTTCTTCCTTCCTTCCATCCATCTTTCTTTCGTCTTTCCTTCAATCTATCTTTCTTTCCTTCCTTCCATTTTCTTTCTTCAGTCCTTCAATCCATCTTTCTTCTTTCTTTCTTTTTTCTTTCTTTCCCTCATTCTTTCTTTCTTTCTTTCTTACATATATCTTTCTTCCTTCCTCCCTTAAGTTCATCTGTCTTTCTTTCCTCTTTCCTTCCATTTTTCCTTTCTTCCTTCACTTCAATGCATATTCCTTTCTTCCTTCATACCATTTTCCTTTCTTTCTTTCTTTCTTTCTTTCTTTCTTTCTTTCTTTATTTCTTTATTTCTTACATGTGTCTTTCTTTCTTCCTCCCTTAAGTCCATCTCTCTTCCTTTCTTCATTTCTTCCTTTCTTCCATCTCTCTTTCTTCCTTCGTTCCATCTATCTTCTTTCTTCCTTTCTCCCATCTTTATTTCTTCCCTCCTTCCATCTTTCTCCCTTCCTTCAATCCATATCTCTTTATTCCTTCCCTCCTGCCTTCTATCTATCTATCTATCTATCTATCTATCTATCTATCTATCTATCTTCTTCCTTCCATCTATCCTTCTTCCTTCTTTAATTATTTTCTTTCTTCAATCTATCTTTCTTTCATTCCATGTGTCTTTCTTTCTTGCTTGCTTCAATACATCTTCCTTTCTCTTTTCCTTCCTTTCATCTTTCTCCCTTCCCTTCAATTCAGCTTTATTCCTTCCTTCCTACCATCTTTCTTTCTTTCTTTTCTTTCTTTCTACCATCTCTCGTCCTTTCTTTCTTTCTACCATCTCTCTTTTTTTCTTTCTTTCTTTCTTCTATCTTTCTTCCTTCCATCCTTCTTTCTTTCTTCTTTCCTTTCTTTCTATCTATTTCAGCCTTTTCAAATCTATCTACATCATTCTGGTAATAGCTAATAGGCTATCACTTTAATTACTAGGGTGAATGTTGGTATAAAGAATACGATTTTCTACAACATAGACAATCATTAGGAACAAAAAAAATGTCGTCGATATGCAGTAAACGTATCTCTAAATAATTTTTAGAAAATATCGCCAGCAACAATCCAGTTAAAAAAATGAAAACAACATCAACTTATTCGCTTATAATCCGAGGCACTCGAGCTGTGAACAGGATGAAAAGGCCATTAAAGTATAATTCATATCACTTAAAATATCATAATAAATGCGAAAAAATTATTATTTATTGCAAAAGATTTAAAACATTTAACCTAATAATTATCATTAAGACGGTATCACAGAAAGCATTCTGTATCATAGAAAGCATTCTTTTGTAAAAAATTAATAGTGTTTATGAACTTTAGGAGAGTGCATCTCCATTACTAAAAATCAAAAACATTCTTTCATTAGTTTTACAGCTACAATTTTTTTTGAACGGTAAACTAGCCAATTATTGAACCTTAGTGCAAACAAATGAAATATAACCTAAACATAAAATAAATATTAGTAGATAAATAACTTAATACTGAGGGAGGAAGATGACTATAAAGTATTACTGGCAAATTTAGCATTCATTAATTTCAACTCTTTTTATTAATAACAGCATTGTTTCTTTTAACTGTTCAAGGGAGAGTTTTGGCAAAGAAGTGATCAATAGCAGATATGACGAGTGTTTTCTTTTTCATGGTGGGGATCAGATGATATTCAAATAAGGGGAATAGTAAGTGCGATCATCAGATCAGATTAATAGTCACGCACAGTAGCCGCTGAAACCCAAAACTTCATTGTCCTGATGAAACAAGACCGCTTTCGTTAGTTTTGTGTTTGGTTTTGATAGACTTTCGTAACTAACCTCAGTATGTTGGTATAGTACTCTCCACTGATGGTCCTTTTGAAAATAATCAATAAACACAATTCATTTTGCTACCAAAAATCTGAGGCCATCCACTTCGATGCAAAATTCATTATGTAGAATATTCTCAACTCTCTCGCGGATTAGGCTAATAAGATTGGCTATTTTATTTGTAATCATCCGCCTGTCATCCATCAACATGTGGTCAACGTAATCAATGTGTTATTTCGGAGGTTCCAGGACGTCCAGAAATTCTAGACTCTCGCTACCCCTCCTAAATTCAGCTGCCCATATTTGCACTGTTGAAAAAGCTGGAGCGTCATTTCTTCATGCAACAACTATGTCAGCATGAATGGCAGTCGGAACTAAACCCTTTTTCTGCAGCTAATTATTAATACGACGATACCAGATTGTTTCCATTTTCAGAGACGTCGCGACTAGTTACATTCGAAATTATCAGTCTTGATCGTCAAAAACAATGAAGTTCTTAATAATTAATGTACGCAAGATTTCTCAGATCTGGAACCAGTCCTTCATTGTCAACATAACAACTTTCACCCCACCAGTATATATATATTTCAATATTATGACCAATACATACCAAAGTATAAAATAAAACTAAAACGATGTCTTATAGGTTTATGTCGAAGTATAAAATAGCAACGTATAAGACATATTGGAATACAGATATCATCGACTACTGACTGTTTATTTCAAGAAGTTTCTTCATCTTGACGTCGAAATAAACACGGGCTAAGAGATGCAGGTGAACGCAAGCTGATCTACATCAATGGCCATACATAAAAGACGTCTGGCACTTCGTTGCTGAGTAAGACGACGACTGGATATTGTAACTTCTAGTGGTGCTTTGAAACGTTGCGGGTCTTTAACCCGGATAAAACTGACAGACACCAGATATATACACTTTTTGTTTTAATCAGTATCAATTCAAGCAAGGCTGTAGAGCCACTAGTACAGGGTGTGGGGAAATTAAGAACAGAAATATATATATATATATATATATATATATATATATATATAGAGAGAGAGAGAGGGACAAAGAGTAAAATTGAAAGTGAATGAGAACACTGAAATTAGAGAGGATTTAGGACCGAAGATAAAAGTAACAAGAAAACAGAGGATGACGATTGACCTTGCACTTAATTTTTTGAAGATTGTAGTTATCAGGGAAGCAAGTAATCGGGTGGGAGTTCCAGACGTGGTAAGAGCCAGGAAAGAATCTGTTAGAGTAGAAGTCGCGGTTGCATCCAGTTAGTAAACAGTAAAACAGTGAGACCTAACAGCCAATCCAGTAACACGGGTAAACTTATAGGAACGGATCACAACGGAACGAACTCGTCAGAGCAGTTGCTATGGGATTATTTATAGAAAATACAGAGGAAATCTACGTCACATTGGTGAAGAAGTGACTGGAGTCGAGCTGCGGGGTCAGGATCCATTATATTACAGATCGTCCTTTGTCAAGATATAAGCCAGGGTCACCAGACAAGATATGGTAACAGTATTTAATGCACAAACGAAAAGTAGATTAATAAATGTACAGTCTAAACTCTGACGAGTAAGTTTTTTGGCCTGACCAATTTTCATTGCAGAAGACGTATTAATTTATTTAATAGTCGTACAGATTTATTGTTTAGCTTTTATTGCAATTCTAATCATCGCTTTTTAAAATAATAAACATTGCCGGGGATTGAAGGTAATTAAAATAAAAACGATTTTAATGTAAAAATCGTCATTTTGGCCGGCACGAAAGGTCGAAATTTGCCTCTACTTTTTATCCCATAGCTAGAGGGAAAAGAAATTGGTTCATGCCATTCGAAAATATTTTTTTAAAGTTGAAGCAAACAACTGCCAGTAATTTAAATTTGGCTTGTTAATTCCACTTCCCCTACCGACAACCATTATATTTCCAACATTTATTTTCTTCATATATATAACAAGCATGCTACTAGATTGGCATTTATGTCCCACACTTCTACTGTTGAAACAGTTGAATGTAACCGCCTCTTCTACTCCAACAGCTTCTTCTCTCGCCCTTCCCGACAGTGGAACTCCTTTCCTCTTACTTGCTTCCTTTATAACTTCAATCTTCAAAAATTTAAATGTAACGCCAATCATCATTTTCTGAAGCCTTGATACCTGTTCTTTTTTATCCTTTCCTCAATGCTCCTATACCAAGTCTTTTCACTTACTTTCACACTCTGTAACCCCTTACGTACTAATAGAACTCCCGTCTTGCTTGGGGTGAAATGCTTACAAAAATAAAATAAAAAAATAATAAACCGTTAATTTTCTATTAGGAATATTCCAAATGTCTATTTCTGATTCGTGTTTTAATTTTTCTGTTGTTGTTATGGTTTGTTTTATTTGTTTTACTATATTATTAGAAAGGTTTTCGTACGGATCTGCGCAATGTAAACAAACTGGCGCCATATTTGTTATCAGCGCGGTAATTTGAGCGTGCCAAATTATTAGAAAGATTTAGTAAAATTCCCAGAATTGATCAAACAAAACGTTTATTAATGTTGCACGTGAATGTTTATGATCAAAAGAAGCTAATAAATAAGATAATCAAACAAATAATAACAGATAAAAACAAAGGCACAGTTATAAACAAATTAATAGGGAATGTGCTTTCCCTGTTTTGAAATTACATAAAGAAGTCGACGATCCATAGAATTTGTTAATTGTAGGATGTCATCTGCTGCACTGCCGCGAGATATGTCAAGAATTGCTTCCCACAACTCAGCGTTGCTCCTGAATTGTCGTCCGTTGGCGTACAGTCTTCGCTCCATGATGCTCCAAAAGGTTTCGATTGGGTTCAAATCCGGAGAATTTGCTGAGCACATCATTTTTCGAGGTCCATCGAAGCCTAACTGTTTCAAATATTCAGTAGTCTTGTGAGCAGCATGTGAGGGAACATTATCTTGCATAAAAACAATGACCCTTCTGGAGGCAACTCTTTGACTTTTCATCCACGGTTTAAGATGCTCCTTCATAAACGCTATGTATGCATCAGCAGTCATTTTGACGCCATCTGGTACTCTCCATGGGCCCACTAATGTTTTTTCCAATAATACCACCCCAGATCATTATGTCTCCACCGCCTTGTTGGCGTCTCAAACGCTGATGGCGATTCTGTCCGTTCATTACCCAGGCTTTGCACCATCTATCTTGCCAATCAAGTGTTGCTCGAGTTTCGTCAGTGAACAAAACTTTAGAGAAGTCAATCTTCATATTGTCCTCGGCCCATTTCAATTGATTTTGAATATGATTTCTCGTCAACGGAGGCTTCGATACAAGTTTGACTGTTGTTGCTATTTCCCTCAGATACCGACACCGAGTACTTTTAGACACAGTAGGATCCCCAATGCGAATGAAAAGCTCTTGACTGGTAAGTCCAGGGTTCTTCGTGGCCTCTCGTTTAAGTTGTGACATGAGACTACTTAAAATAACCCTCGGCTTGCCTTTATCTGCCCTTTTGCGTAGTTGTGTAGGGTCGGCAGTGAACTTTTTCACTGTTTGATGACATCTCCCTATCATTTTAGAAATTTCTAGGGTAGATTTACCTTTTGAGAGTACTGAGGTGATAGTTTTCTTTTCAGCATCCCTTAAACTGCTTTTACGGCCCATCTTTTCACTTACACTTTTCTAATAATTTGGCACGCTCAAATCACCGTGTTGATAACCAATATGGCGCCAGTTTGTTTACATTGCGTAGATCAGTACGAAAATTTCAGCGATTGCGCAGGTTAGTGTTGCCAATAGTGTGTGAAAATTTTGTGTGAATTGATTGGACGATTTTTGAAATATTAGAAAAAACGTTATCTCGATAATAATTTGGCACGCAGTGTATATATAAATACCCCTTACGGAATTGTATTCCTGGTCAATCACACTTCGTAAATAATTATATTGGCCCCACTATAACACGTTTAACACGAAGATTCACTCTACACCTTTCTGGCTATAGCTCAATTACATCTCGTTTAAATATTCATGGAAACCTAATGGACACTATTCGTAACAAACTTGTTGACAATACAAATATAACAGCATCATCTACATGCAAAAAAAGGCTAAAAATAATGGAAGCCTTATTAATAAAAACAAAAAAAACAACACTCAGTATCAATTATGAACATGGACACAAAATCTTGACCGTGTTTTGAAAAATGAAAACATTATATAAATACATACATGCAACAAACTATTATTTAACAGTTAAAGCATTTCATCCTTGAAAATGACTAAATGTATAGCCGAAAGCGCTCGTAAAAAAGAACATTTGGACAGTTTTTATATAATTTATCATCTGAAAAGAAAAAAACTATTAGATTGCATGAGAAATTGTATAAAAAACTAAATCAAAGCACCTTGTCTATCGAAAGACCATGTCTGTCGTATTCATGATATGTACATGAAAGAAGGATTGCTGCCTAAATGCACAAATATATATGTATTTTATACATACATATATATATATATATATATGTGTGTGTGTGTGTGTGTGTGTGTGTGTGTGTGTGTGTGTGTGTAAAAAATATGGAATCTGTTTGAACGGCGTACCGAGTTCTAATCGGAGTCATGGAGTTCATTTTAACACAAAAAAGTATCAATATATTACTTCTCGCCCTACCCACCTCAAGGTTAAATACCAAGGCAGATCTAGTCATGGTTTGTCTCCAGTTTAGGTGAAACCCACCATTCAGACATGAGAAGAGATTTTCGGAGGCTTCGTTACACTCTGTGTACAGTCTTTCTGTTATCAGTTCTTCCGAAAAGTTTTGGCTGGTTCTACGCAATCATTTGAATCGCATCATAGTTTTGTTTCGTATGTTCATTCAGTTTTAAACAACCAACGTTTATTTCCCATACGTTGAAAGTATATATAAAAGTCTGTGTGTTTAATGTAAATGCGTACACTCTTTTTTTTTGGAACTCAATGTAAATAACGAGGAAGCAGTATAGAAACACCATAAGATGCTCATACATTTTGTCAAAGTATGAACATATCAGTAAAACTATTAAATATTTTAACACCATATTATAAACCGGTGCTCAAGATAACTATTTTTGGCTATTAACACCTCCCATATCAGAGGTCAACGCAAAGTTTCTTTTTTTCCAATTTCGCGTAAAAATCCAACCGCTAGCATGAATCTTTAACACTTGTTTCTTTGATCTTGTACAACACAGGTGTTTATGTTATGGAGAAGAATAAGAGAGTGGTAGGATGTAGCATTTCATAATGCCGTTGGCCACAGACACATGAGGTTCACTGTAAAACGTAAAAGAAGTATCATGATAAAAAGAAAATACACTAAGAATGATGATACTTGTGCAATATATCGTTATCGACGAAAATGTAGAGTATTTCTTTTGCTTCCTCACCTCACATTAAGCAAGGTGATAATGCCACTAAGATGTTCGGCGTTACTGTTAATGAAAAAGAATAAAACTTTAAGAGGAACTAGAACCTGAATCCTTACCTTTCTGGGTAAGACGATAAACTACATCGGGCAGCAAGACCTCTGAACAGGAGGCTTTGAGGAGCGAGGAACTACCTCTTAATTTTTAGTGTTCTCACGTCCACGCTGATCTGGGGTTGGTAAAACCTGTTAGGGTGACAGCTATGGGCAAATAGTTAACCCCAGTCTGGGTTCAAAACACTGTGAAAGTGTAAAAATAGGTTTTAATAACAGCAATACATATTTGTAAAAAAATATTATTGACAATGAATTTTTGAAGATAAACTTATTACCAGCAATAAATAATTACTAGCAATACATTTTGGAGAAAAATATTGCCAGCAATACATTTTTGGAAAAAAATATGACCAGCAATACATCTTTGAGAAAAAAAATATTACCAGTAATACATTCTTGAAAAAAAAAATACTACCAGCAACACATTTTTGGAAAAAAAATTACCAGAAATATATTTTTTGGAAAAAAAATATTACCAGCAATAATTTTTAAAAAACAAATTACCAGAAATATATTTTTTGAAAAAAAAATATTACCAGCAATAAAAAATCTTGGACAATTTCAGCGAGTGAAGAGATATCATACATAAAAGAAGATTAATAAAAAATTGAATCTATTGTATCACTGCTAGAATTTGAATTCGTTTCGCTGATTCCTTTTCCAATGATGTTGCCTCCCATCCCTCTAAAAATCGTCTTAACTCCGCAGAATTACCACATTTTACCGTAATATTGATTCATCATAGACGCTTCTCTTACGGAAGACTGATAGATTTACCTCAGATTTTCCCATGGTTTCTTTTAGACCTTTGGATGCCGTAGAAGAGTGCTGGATCTTTCGTTTCCAATGGTTTACAGTGTGCTGCATTAAAGAAAGGTTAAAAAAGCTCGGATTAAAATTGCTAATTCCAATGATCGTAAGACTCTCCCCATTTCAAAGACAGTCGCAACATAATCATCCTACTCCTGTTTATCTTTATATTTCTAATAATCTAAGCTCAATAAATATCATGATTAACGTTCCATTTTCTCTTCTTCATCATCGTCATCTACTCTTCATTTAGCCTCCTGCCTTCACGATCACCGTAAAACCTTGTGACGGTGAAGGCAGCACATCTACTGCAGTAGTAGTGCTGGTTCCTGGGTAAAACAGCCTGACAGATCCCATTCCTCTCCAGGCTGGTTTGAATTCAGAGTTTCCTTTCTAGACTCTCCAACAAACGATACATGGCTATATAACTCTACTGCTTGTTATCGATAGGTGCCGGTGGGGAAAGATGGAATCATTCTTTTCTCAAGAGTGATAGCTCATAAATAATATAATAAACTCGGCTTCAATTCGAACCTGGCTCTCTAAATTCTCAACTTGAGCCGCTATCTATTACTGCACCGCGTCTCCTGCGTTAGGGGCGTATTAAGAGTTTTGAAAACCATTTACTCGTTTACGTAGATCTGTTCATTGGCAGAGTACCTGAATTCAAAGGACTTGAATTTTTCTTTCTTTCTTTCTTTCTTTCTTTTTTCTTTCTTTTATTTATTTGATTTTTTCTTTCTTTTAAGTTTTTTTCTTTTTTCTTTCTTTCGATTTTCTACATTCCTTTCTTTCTTTCTTTCTTTTTTCTTTCTTTTATTTATTTTCCTTCTTTCTTTTTCTTTTTCTTTTTTCTTTCTCTTTTTCTTTCTTTATTTCTTTCTTTTTCTATTTTATCTTCCTTTCTTTCCTTCCTTCTTACTTTCTTTCTTTGTTTTCTCTTTCTTTTTTTCGATTTTTTTCTTTCTTTTTTTCGATTTTTTTTCTTCTTTCTGTTCTTTCTATTTGCTTTAAAATTTACGCTACTTAATTCTTTGAAATTTTTTCCTTCGCTTTCTGTCCTGCATTTCATTCTTGCTAGTTTGTTTTCTTTCCTAGAACAAACAACCATTTTCACGACAATTGCACAATATTCTTCCTTTTTCGTTTTTATCCACCTTCAACAAAAGCGACGAAAATCGAAATATAAATGAATTAATCAAAACAAAATTGAAAAAAAAAAGATTCCTTAATACTAAACAGAAAATCATCAAAAAGTCAGTATTCCAATCTAGTACCCCACGCTCTGTACATCAGTCTATCTGTACTTAAGAACCTGCGTCTAAGTATGTCGTCTGAGTGATCAAATACCGGTATAGTAAATACTACCTGCAAATATTTTGATAAAAAGCGATACTTCTTTTTTTTTTAATCTAATTCTTCTTAGCCAGACAGTGAAAATATACATACGACGTACCGATTCACAAAGTCTGAAAGATAAAAAAAAACATCACATAGATCTATCTATATACGTATACACATGCGGATTTGTTTGTATGTAAATATTTATCGATTGAAATAAAAGCAGACGATCACATTCCAGAAATGGAGACGCCTTGTTCTTTTTCCAAATATATATTCAATTTCAATCTTCAAGAACTGTAGTAACTCGAAACTTCTTTTTCCATCGTAAAAGACGTAAGAGGAAAAGCCTCGACAAGACAGTTATGTATAGCCTTGCATTCATCTGGACTAAATACAGATTTACTATCGATATGAGAACACGTAGGCAACGGTACGAACACAAGTAAAAACTAGTAGGTTTCTATATGACAGCTTATTTGATATTTGTTATATTAACATTCATCATTTACGTGTATGTCACAATCAAAATGTCTGCAAATCTCTCTAACGCATCATAGCTTTCCCCCTTACATACGTATATCTCTCTACCTTGCTGTCCCTCTCTTTATCTTTTTCTTCCTTCTTTATTTATCTTTCTTGATATCTCACACTATTCTCTCTCTCTTTCTCTCTCTCTCTCTCTCTTTCACACATACACACAGACACTCCCCCTCACTATCACTTTCCCCTCTATATTTATCTCCTACTTCACCATCCGAAATTGATTTTATAGCGAGAGGAGCTATGGAGGCAAATAAGTGATACAATCTTAAGGCAAACTGAGAAAAGGAATAGACGAAATGTGGAAATGATGCCACTTATAAACGGTACAATTTACAAGAATCATAAAAAAAATAGATAGTAATTGTAATGGACCAACGTTAACAAATATTGCTTATAGGAATATTTTTTAAAGATTACCCGAAATTACAAACACACAAATACGTGCGCGCGCACGCACGCGCGCGCGCACACAGACACACACACACACACACATATATATATACACACATATCCTGACTTGGCATGTCGTCTAGAGTCTCTCTCTCACAGACGTGATGTGGCTTCCCTCTGTCTTTTCTACGAATATATTCATGGCAACTGCTCTGACGAGCTATTTTCACTGGTACCCCAACTGCATGAATGTAAGCGAGCTACTAGGTTGGCATCTCGGCCCCATCTTTTCAATGTCGAAACAATTAAATGTAACCGCCTCTTCTACTCCAACAGATTCTTCGCTCGCACTCCCCGACAGTAGAACTCCCTTCCTCTTACCTGCGTCCCTGAAAGCTATAATCTTCAAATATTCAAATGTAATGTCAATCGACATCTTCCGATGCCTTGATTCTGACCCCCGTCCTTCTCTATATAATTCCCAGTCCTTCTCTATACCTTTTCTTTAAAACTCCTCTTTACCCTTACTCTCTATAATCCCTTTGCGTTCTAGTGGCACTCCCGCCTTGCTTTGGGTGAAATGCTTAATACACACGCACACATACACACACACGCGCGCGCGCACATGCACACAAACACACATGCACACACACACACATATATATATATGTTTGTGTGTGTGTGTGTGTGTAGTGAAATGCTTAATACACACACACACATATATATATACTAATGAAACTATATATATATATATATATATATATATATATATATATATATATATATATATTGTGTATTCAGGCAGCATTTTTTCATTGATGCATGTTTCATTATAATAATATACACAAGTTTTTTTCTATTTATTTTATGTAAATTCTTTTCATATCGTCTGATAAGCCTTAATAACATTATCATTAAAAGGAGAAGGAAAATCACAATATTGATAAATATTTTTTAATCCTATCTAAGTTTTTGGCTTACATAAGCTATTATCACTGACAATTACACGGACAAAACAATAACGATAGTCAGTTTATGTTTACATGGATGATTTCCAAGCAACGACAAAATCATGCATACGACACGCTGGAAGCGAAAATCGCACCGTAGCTCATGACATCACACATGACCACGCGAGAGTGAAAACGAGAAGTAGTAAGTATGGGAAGCCGCTGGCTTCTGTTATAAATTATAGGAATTTAAGAATATCTGTGGAGATTTCATAGCTTATTTTGTTCAGGTTAGGTTTCAATTGCTATATATGATCATAACTCGTTAATGTTTTGATTTTGTAGCAATTGGCGGTGTTGGGCGAAACTACACCTAGCGCAACTGATTTCTTGTTCATATTTCTTACCTCCAAGACTAAAATCTATCATAAGCGACCCATACATCGATATTATTGACGTGTTAATTATCTGCCAGTTCCAATCATAAATATTTATGTTGGATCCAGGGTGGGCGCTATTACTCTTTTCATTCCAATTCCAAATCATAGTTTCTGTTCTGAAAAGGTTTATCTCGTCCTATTTCTTGGAACACCCGGCAGAAGATGCTGATTTTTGTTAGTTCAAGATAATTCTTATCCCAACTATGGATGCCTATACCAACAATAAACTTTACCCTTAATCAGCACATCGTCCTAGGGAGAGGAAACAAGAACGCTGTTTTCTAATGGTAGACTCATTTGGGATATGATATGGAATGCTTAAATGTCAAGTGTTTATTTCTTCATATCTCTGGTTGTATATTTGAATAGTCTGGAAAAAGATTAAATAGTTCAGGCCTCTTTCTTCCTTGCCGTACATCTGATGAAGTTTGAAATGTTTATATGTTGATATCCAAGACAGACAGGAGTAGATCTGATAGAGGAAATCTGTGGACCTATACAGTTCCTTTATCAGATCTACACATTCAGTGATTCCAGAGCTCGGAAGTTTTTGACGATAATGATCAACTTGTGTAATGCCCAAAAGCCTCTCGAGGTAGAGGGTTACAGAATAAAAGGCAGTTTATAGGGATATGTGCAGTAAGTAACCGTTAACCCTAGACTTGTACAGGTTAAATTGTAACGATCGAGGAAGCATACTTTTTAGAACCCAGGTCACATCTCACCAATGGAATACAAAGAAAATAATGGTGGTTACCTAAAGTGTGCGTAGCATGGCGGGTTTTATGATGACAGGGCAGCTGCTTATCACGTATGACTACAGTAACCCCATTTTCAGCCTGGTCGTGTAAACATAGAGGATAGCAGGAGTCAGGAACTTACTGGAGTAGTACTGATCCGTTTCCCATCATCTTTCGCGATTGATCGTATAATCATGTTCTGTTTAAGGTCTGGGTTGAGTTTAAGTTCCAATAGGCGCTAAAGGCATGGGGTCTTCCTCAGAGACCATCCGTTCATCGCGAAATGAAAACAACGTGGAATAAGCACTTCTTCCTTCATGATTTTATGATTCTGAATGTATTCAACAACAAATTGACACATCTATCTTATTAAAATAAAGTAAGCAAAGCCGAGGGCCATCTAATTCAGTTAAATTTGGGAGATTCTTGATGTTTTAGAAAATGATTGATTAATTCTGGCCACAGAAGAAAAATAAAAAAAGCAATAGTAAAAATATTCTTCTATCAGGTAAACGGGACTTTGTAATCTTTTTAACAATGTATATATCTTTCTTTGTAAAGAGTTATAAGGCCATCGTTGGACACCTCGAGGTGGTGTAATGGTTAGCAAGTTTATCTCGCTAGAACAGTTACGATTGAGTAGTGAGTTCGATCCTCACTGGGTGCTCCATTCTTTCGGTCTTGTTCCACATCTAAGCTACGCTTGGAAAATCACTATAAGGCCATCGTTATTTATGAAATTAGATGCTGCACAAGGAATTACGTTCACGAAGAAAATCCATAAATAATTATTTTAACACAGCACCAAACGCTTGCCAAGATGAGTGGCGCTGCATCTCTCCGATCAGAGCTTAATACAGACCAATTTAGACCAGCATTGAAGCGTACCAACCTCAATACGCAGAAAACCCGTCATGAATATGAATTTGAAATGTACCTTTCACTACAAAATACGTGTAAAAATGATGTGTGTGTGTGTGTGTGTGTGTACAAAGCTGCAGAAACTGAAAATGGCGCCTGATGACAAGCTTTGGTAGTTGGATAATTCCACGTATCTAAAATGATCTTCATACAACTACCTGTCTAATCTCCCCACAAGTCCAACGAAACCTACCGTCACCTAGCTGCCTACTTACCTGTAGTGTAAATATTATTCCTTTGCGACCTTAATAAAAGACTTTCAATGTTTCAAAATGTCCGGCGCTAAAATTATTTCAGTTAAATTATTAACTGGTGAAAGATACATACATACATATAAGATAAAGATATAAGATACCAACACTTATTGGTATGAATTATGAACTGAATTTATTATACCGTCTGTAAGATCACTTAAACACGAATTATTATAGAAGGATAAGAAAAAATATCTGAAAATGATCAACAATTTTGCTAAAATTGCTCGGTATAATGACATGTTAGGAATATTTTCGCATTCATTAAATCCAGAAAAAAAACTTGTACGCATAAAAAACAACAAAACAAAGTATAAAAACTTAACAGAAGTACATTAGCAGTTTTGTTTAACGGAACATGTATTAAAGAGGGGTTGCTGCCTAAATAGGCAACTATTAGAAATATATGGAAGCGTTATGGCCAGATCAGCATCACATCATTAACATTAAGATGTCATTGGTGAATCGGAGCTTCTTCTATGCACAGTGATTTTAAATCTATTTAAAAACAGATTGCCACATTCAGACGAGATAAGTAACTTCACAATTAAATTAGAGATAACAAAGTTATCTTCAACTATCACCCTGCTTGTATTTAACAACAGATTGACACTTACGTTGTAGAGAAAGCCATTACCATTACAATAAAGAATCCATAACTAAATAAGATGTTCTTCAATCAATGTACTTGGATTTTGAACGTCTTTAAGCAACAGAATCAAATATTCTGAACGAACAAGAATGTTAAGATCAAAATAAACAAGGCAAGCATGAATATGACTTTCTTCAATCAGGTTAATGTGAGTTTTAATGCATTTAACAACGAATGATACATTCTGATCAGTGATTGTACTTATCATTAAAATATATAATCCAAAGATAAATGTGATCTTGTTCAATTAAGATAATGTGGTTTTGAATATATTTAACAAATTATTAGCACATTCTGACGACAGAAGAACATTATATTAAAGTAGCCAATTCTGAATAGGATCCTTTTCAATCGGCTTGGTGGAATTTTGAATGCATTTAACAGCAGATTCTTATTAACGACAAAATTTTATATTGAAAAAATAATGTGAAACTAAATGAAATCTTTTCCGTATTCATATTTAAAATGTTTCAATAACAGATTTAAACAAACTAACCAGAAAAAAAAAACAACTTTATCATACACGTAAAGACGTCAATGCGGAATACTGCCTTTTTAGTTATTTTCTCGTCGATTTTAATTTTTCGATCAGGTTTGTTGAAATTTGAATGTTTGCAGTAATATTAATTGACTAGCAGCATGACCCGGCGTTGCCCGTGATTGATTCAAAAATCGTACGACTCATACAGCAATCGCTGTCAATTGACTTAAAATATTTTTGCCCTTCCTTGCCTTTAAAGGAGTGCCTTTTGCCGTGCTGATGTTGCTACATGCCTTACTTCTTGCCTATCTTACACTGCAAATTTTTTCTAAGCTCTATACTAAACATTAAATCTGTTACTAAAAAAGAACTAAACAAAATGAACACAAAACG